GGCTGAGGCTGAGGCAGGCTGATGCTGAGGCAGGCTGAGGCTGAGGCTGAGGCTGATGCAGGCTGAGGCTGAGGCAGGCTGAGGCTGAGGCCGAGGCTGAAGGCAGACTGAGGCTGAGGCTGAAGCAGCTGAGGCTGAGGCTGAGGCAGGCTGAGGCTGAGGCTGAAGCAGGCTGATGCTGAGGCAGGCTGAGGCTGAGGCTGAGGCTGATGCAGGCTGAGGCTGAGGCAGGCTGAGGCTGAGGCCGAGGCTGAGGCAGACTGAGGCTGAGGCTGAAGCAGGCTGAGGCTGAGGCTGAGGCAGGCTGAGGCTGAGGCTGAGGCAGGCTGATGCTGAGGCAGGCTGAGGCTGAGGCTGAGGCTGATGCAGGCTGAGGCTGAGGCAGGCTGAGGCTGAGGCCGAGGCTGAAGGCAGACTGAGGCTGAGGCTGCAGGCTGAGGCTGAGGCTGAGGCAGGCTGAGGCTGAGGCTGAGGCAGGCTGAGGCTGAGGCTGATGCTGAGGCAGGCTGAGGCTGAGGCTGAGGCTAATGCAGGCCACTGCGACTGTCATCGCGAATGCGACTACGACTGCGAGAACAGCAGAACTCTACAACTGGATTATCATCTGAATCTTAAGGGGGATGCTTCCAGATATGCTCCTACACATCGCTGTTAGGTTGCTTTGCCGGGATAATTTTATTTAATCGCTTCGCTCATTCCGCCGGCCCATATTGTCGCACCGTTGTGGGCTAGCCGAGTTTTGGGGCCTCTTGGGGGCCGTTTTTGGGCCTCTTGGGGCCTCTTTTGGGCCTCTTGGGCGCCTCTTGGGGCGTCTTGGGGGCCTCTTGGGGGCCTCTTGGGGCCTTTTTGGGGCCTCCTGGGCGCCTTCTGGGGCGGAGGGCTCGATTTTTCAGTTCTCGGTTCCCCTCTTGAGCCCCTCTTGGGCCCGTCTTGGGGCCTCTTGGTCCGTCTTGGGCGGCACTTGGGCCGTCTTGGGGGCCCTCCTGGGCCGTTCCGGGGCCGTCTTGGGAGCCTCGTGGGCCGTCTTGGAGCGGTCTTGGGGGCCTCTTGGGCCGTCTTGGAGCGTCCGGAAGACGAAAAAGCCAGAACGCAAAAAACATAAAAAAAACACTGAAAATCAACGATTTTGGCCTCTTGGGGCCCTCTTCGGAGGCCTCTTGGAAGGCCCTTGGGGCGTCTTGGAGGCCTCTTGGGCTGTCTTGGGGCCCTGTTGGGCGTCTTCGGGCGATCTTTGGCCGTCTCGGGGCCTCTTGGACCGTCTTGGAGGCTTCTTGGGGACCTCGTGGCCCGTCCTGGGGCCCTGTAACAGGGCTCCGGCATCTCTGGCCCGACCTTGCCGGGACCTTGCCGGGGTACTTTTCGTCCGGGGACCCCCAGGGGCCGCCCCGCGCGCGCGAACTAGAAATACTGTTAACCAGGTACCGGAGATCTTAGCACGCCCCGGCCCGTTGGGAGCTTGTTTTTTTATTGCTCGGACCCGTAACGCCCGTTACGGGGGGGGGTCCCCCCCCCGTAAGGTTGATAAAACCGTTTGTGCGTACCACCTCGGTTTTTGGTCTATTACTTCTGATGTGCTTGCTTTCCTGTTGATTATGCTTTTCGTCATCTTTAAAGGGATTGCTCAAAGTAGTGGAATGCAGAACGATTCCTGTTGTAGCACATTTAAAATTGAATTCTTTTGTGGGGAATTCAAAGGGAATTCTGATCATGGTGAATTACAAATTGTTTCCTTTGGTGGCGGATTACAAAAGGATTCCTTTTGTGGAGGATTACAAAAGGATCCCTTTTGTGGAGGATTACAAAGGGATTCCCTTTGGTGGAGGAATACAGAAAGGGATTCCTTTTGTGGAGGATTACAAATTGATTTCCTTTGAGTGCTTTCCTGGAAGTGAACCAGGAAACAAAAGAAAAAAAAAAAAAAAACAAAAAAAAAAATCATTGAAAATAAAGAAAATTGCAGGTTTTCAATGATTTTCCAATGCTTTGAAGCAAAAACATATACAAACACAGCATTTTCACAATCCGAATACAAAAATGTTGTGTTTTCATATGGTTTGGGCTTCAAAACCTTGGAAATACTGTGTTTTTTATATGTTTTTGCTTCAAAACATTGGAAATCCATTGAAAATCTGCAATTTTGTTAATTTTCAATGATTTTCTGATTTTTTTGTTTTTTTTCTTTTGTCCCCTGGTTCACTTCCAGGAGAGCCCTCAAAGGAAATCAGTTTGTAATCCTCCACAAAAGGAATCCCTTTGTATTCCTCCACCAAAGGGAATCCCTTTGTAATCCAGGGGAATCCCTTTGTAATCCTCCACAAAAGGAATCCTTTTGTAATCCTCCACAAAAGGAATCCTTTTGTAATCCGCCACCAAAAAGAATCATCATGTGATCCTCCACAAAAGAAATCCTTTTTGTAATTCTCCACAAACGGAATCCTTTTGCAATCTGCCACAACATAAAACAATGTGTAGTTCACCACCAAAGGATTCCCTTTTGTATTTCAACAACAAAAGAAATCAATTTGCAATCCGCTAATACTTTTTGTTTCGGGCCTCCGGAGGCCGGAGAATCGAGATATTAAGGCTTATTAATCTCTCTGGAACGCGCTTCGGCGCTCACCCACTGGAAGTAAGAGGGGTGAGGAGGAAGAGACGGCGGTGGAGGCGGAGGAGGAGGAGGAGGAAAAAGGGTAAAGAGAGGATAACTTTAGTCTGGTGGGCTGTGTTTCCCACTCGATTATGCTCTGTGGAACTCATTATGACAACGCATTGCTCCCAACGCATCTCGTCATCACCATCATCATCAGCAACATCTTGAAACGCATGCTCGTCATCACCATCGTCATCAGCAGAATCTTGAAACACATACTCATCATCATCATCGTCATCAGCAGCATCTTGAAACACATGCTCGTCGTTACCATCGTCATGGGCAACATCTTGAGACACATACTCGTCATCATCATCATCATCATCGTCATCAGCAGCATCTTGAAACACATGCTGGTCAGCACCGTCGTCATCAGCAGCATCTTGAAGCACATGCTCGTCAACACCATCGTCATCAGCAGCATCTTGAAACACATTCTCGTCATCACCATCGTCATCAGCAGCGCATTGAAACACATGCTCGTCATCACCATCATCATCAGCAACATCTTGAAACACATGCTCGTCATCATCATCATCGTCAGCAGCATCTTGAAACACATGCTCGTCATCATCATCATCATCGTCATCACAAAAGACACCCACCTCTCATATAATCGTACTACATATGGATCCACTTCCGAGAGAATCCTATTACATATGGATCCACCTTCCATAGAATCCGATTAGGAATGGATCCACCCCTGATAAGATCCCACTACAGATGGAACCACCTTAAATATAATCTTATGACATATGGATCCGCCTCTAATATAATCCCATTAGAGATGGGTCCACAACTAATGACATCACATCAGAGATGGATCCACCTCGAATGGAATCCTGGTACTGATGAACCCACCTCTCATATAATCCGTTTACAAATGAACCCACGTCTGATAGATCCCCATTACATGTGCGTCCACCTCGTATATAATTCTATGAACGATGGATACACCTCTGGTAAAATCAAATTAGACATGGATACACCTCTAATGGGCTCCAGTTACATATGGACCCACCTCTAATAGAATCCTAATAAGATGGTTCCATCCCCAATGGCATGCTATTAGAGATTGGTCCACCTCTAACAGAATCCTGTGACAAATGGATACACCTCGAATGGGGTCCTAGTATGGATGGACCCACCTCTAGTAGTATCTGATTACAGATGGATATAATGGAATCCTAGTGCGGATGGATCCATCTCTAACAGAACCCTATGACAGATGGACCCACCTCTAATATAATCCTATTACATATGGGTCCACCTCTGAGAGAATCTTATTAGGGATGGGTCCACCTACCTCTGGTGGGGTCCTACATGACATGAATCCACCTCTAATATAATACTATTACATATGGATCTACCTCTAATAGGATCGTGATACAAACGGGTCCACCCCCAATTCAATCCTACCAGAATCCGGATACAGATGGGTCCACCTCTGATGAAATCCTATTACAGATGGATCCACATCTACTAGAATCCTGGTACAGATGGATCCATCTCTAATGGAATCCGACTACAGCTGGATCCACAATTGATGGAATCCTATGAGAGATGGGCCCATCTCAACTGAAAGTCTATTACAGATCGATCCGCTCCAAATGGAATCCTAACATAGATGGATCCACCATTTGATGGAATCTTGCTACACATGGATTCACCTCTAACAAAGTCCTATTACAGATGGATCCACCTCTCATTGAATATTATTAGAGATGGGTCCACCTATAATGGGATCCGATTAGACATGGATTCACCTGTAATGGAATCCTATATGAGATGGATCCACCTCTCATAGGATCCTAGTAGCGACTGACCCACCATTTACACCCCCTCCCTACAGAAGGTTTTCTTTTGTGGCGGATTACGAATGGATTCCTTTTGTGGCAAAATATTCAGTGATTCCTTTTGTGTCGGATTACACATAGATCCCTTTTGTGGCGAATTACAAATCAATTGTGTTTGTGGCGGGTTTCAAATTGATTTCTTTTGCGGCGGATTTGAAATGGATTTCTTTTGTGGCGGATTACAAATTGATTACAATGATGATGATGCTGGTGATGGCGATGCAACGCAGCAGAACGAGGTGGTACGCACACACGGTTTTATCAACTCCACGTCCCCCCCCCTCCCCGTAACGGTAACGAGCGTACGGGGACGGGGGTGCGGACCCCCCCTCCGTCCAGGCAGGCAGGCTGTGACGCTCACATGTGTGCTCAGGTTCGAGGTTCGAAGTTCGAGGTTCGAACCTCGGCGCAAATTCAAAATGGGTCCACGGGGCCCGACTGGGGCTCAGACGCACCAGTTTCCCGAACCGCGTCCAGCCGCGGCGACGACGAAGGCCCTCGAGGGCCAGGATGCCTCGATCCTCGAGGTTCGAGGTTCGTATCCCTCGGCGCGAACCTTTCAACGGGTTCCGGCCTGGCCCCTCCACCTCCTTTGCCTTGCTTCTGCACTCCCTCCAGTGCTCGTGCCCTCCACCTCCTCTCACCTCCTGGGGGAGGGGGGAGCGAGGCAGAGGGAGGAGGAGGAGGAGGAGGAGGACGAGGAGGACGAGGAGGGTTGGAACAGGATCGGAGGAGGAGGTGATGGGGGATCGGAGGAGGGGCATGAGCGCCACAAAGTGGCCCCGCCTTTGGCGCCACAAAGTGGCCCCGCCTTTGGCGCAACCTGTGGCGCAACCATCGACGCAACCTATGGCACGCCCTGAGGGCGCAACCTAAGGCGCAACGTAAGGCGCGATTTGTGGGGCGCCCTGGGTGCGCAACCTATGGCGCAAGCTATGGCACGCCCTGGGGGCGCATCCTATGGCGCAGCTTACGGCTCAACCTATGGCGCAGGTAATTGTACGCAAGCACAACGTGTGGTGTAACGCATCGGGCAAGCCATGGCGCAACCAGCCGGTGCACTCTCACAATATCATTATGACTACTACCACTGTCCTCCCTCCATTCTCCCTGTGCTGGTGCAAGGGGCTGGACTGGGCGAGACCTGCACGCGGATGTGGCCGCATGTCCTTCCAGCGCTCGGCCCTCCTACCTCGCGCGGCTGGTCACGCCAGCCCCCCGCATGTGTATCCAGCAAGTGGGCCCCAAGCGCTGCTGAAGCTTTCGGCAACTGGCTGCGGACACGGCGGCGGCGGCGGCGACGGCGACGGCGGCATCGGCGGCGACGACGACGGCGGTGACGGCGGCGGCGGTCACCTTCACCGCCGCCGCCGCCGCTTGCCGCCGTCGGCGTCGTCGCCGTCGCCGCCGTCGTCGTCGTCGTCGTCGTCGCCGTCGCCGCCGCCCGTGTCGCCGCCGCCGCCGTCGCCCCCCCGGTCGCCGTCGCAACTGACGGCGACGACGACGACGCACCTGCGTGCACGTTCCAGCCGTCGACCCATGTCTCAAGGGCCTTGTGCCTGTGCAGGGAGCTCCTGTTTCCTGTGTTCCCTAGGCTGCCGCCGCCCCGCGCGCCCCCACGGCGCGCGGTTTACACTCCGCACAAAAAACCGTACACAAGCTTTGTGGTGCACACATGCCATGTGGTATACACAAGCGCCACGGTTCACAATCCCATGATGTACACAGTCGCAATGGAGTGCACAAGCGATGTGGGCTCAACAGGTCTGAGCGCTTTTTGAACCAGAAAAACTAAGATCCACAAACAGCTCACATAATGAAAGGGCCACACGGTTGGGCCCCGAACGATCTTCTGGATTTTCGTTCCGCCGGTACCTTACAGGTGTACACAAACTTTGTGGTGTACGCTGGCATTTTGGTGCAAACACGGGGCGTTGAAACAGCAGCTGTGGTGCACGCGGGCGCCGTGGTGTGCACCAACAGTGAGATGTACAAGGGCGCTGTGGTGCACCCGCCTGTCATGATGTGCCCAGTCGCCGTGGTGTACACACATACCATTTCTGCCGCAGTTGTGGTGTACGAAGGCATCGCGGAGTACAGAGCCTGTGTAGTGTGCACAGGCACGGTCGGCTTCGACGACGACGACAGCGGCGACGACGACGACGACGAAACCTACCGTGCCGACAGTTGTGCTGGTAATAAGTACCAGGGCCCGCGCGAGGGCCCCGCCGCGCGTTACCGTTACCCCCAACTTGGGGCCGGATCCCCCCCCCTCCACCCCCCCCCGTAACGGGCGCTACCCCCCCCAGTTAAAAAACAAGCTCCAGGGCCTTTTGGGCTCCTTTTCGGGGCCTCTTGGACGTTTTTGGTGGCATCTTCGCTTTCCCCCTCTTCGGGCGCTTTCGGAGGCCTCGTCGGCCCTGGGCCGCTTCGCGGCGCCCTTGGACCGTTTAGTGGCGATCTTGGAGCCTCTTGCGCCGCGTTGGGCCCTATCGGGGCCTCCTGGGCCGTCTTGGAGTGGTGGAAGCCAGACATTGCGAGAACGCTGTAAACATGCAGGATCCGTATGCACACAAGGAGGTTTGTCACCTTCGAGCTCTATTGAAGGTCCTTCTTTTGTGACGCTCTTGCGGCGTCCTGGGGGCCTCTTGGGCAGTGTCGAGGCCGTCTCGGGCCGTCTAGGGTCGCTCTTGGGTCGTCCCGGGGCCATCTTGGACCGGTCACGCGAGAAGCCGTGAGCGGCCACGAGAAGTCTGGCACTTCGGCTTCTGGACCCTTCGACGAGTATTTGCAGCACCTCAATATCCAGCTGGCTGCAGCAGGTCCCACCGCCGTGCCAGCCCAGCATTCTGGTTGGCAACTGTTCGGTGAGGCACGGGAGGCATTCTTGGGCGTCTTGGGTTCTTTTGGCTGTCTGGGAGTCTCTTGGGGCCGTTGCGGGGTCGCATTCGGGCCGTCTTGGTTCGTCGGGCCCTCTAGGCAGTCTTCGGTCCTCTCTGAAGGCCCTCATGGGCTAGTTCGGGTCTCTCTTGGAGACGGTCCTGGGCTGTCTAGGGTCTTGAGGCGTATGGGGGCCATCTTTGAGCCTGCTGTCTTGAGCTGACGGAAGCCTGCAAGGGCGTGACTGCCCAAATGTTGAAGCCAAAAACCCTGAGGACATTGACTTTGGCCTCCTCGTCCGCGCGGTTGGGGCCAAAACCTGCTGGTACGGTCGGTCAGTGTAGTGTCGACGCGGCGGCGATCCCAGCGCGGGCGTTCAAGGTTGCACGCCGTCAGTTGCCCCAAAATTGGCCAGCCTGGAAGCGTCCGTGGAGCGCCGTCAAGCGTCCGTTGAGCGCCCGTCTGTCGTCGAGCGTCCGTGGAGCGCCCGTCGAGCGTCCGTCGTTCAATGTCGTCGGTGCCGTCGTCGGCGTCGGCGGCTGCGGCGTCGGCGTCGACAGTCGTAGCCATCTGACTGCACCACCGGCGACGACAGCGGCGAAGCGGCGGCGGCGCGCAAGCCGCGACCGCGCGGCCGGCGCCACCTGCAGCTCGACGGCTTCGACGACCTCGGCCGCGTCAAGGCCCGCCGTGCGCGGCCCCCGAGAAGGGCCGGGAGGGGGGGTGAGGGCGGGGCGAGGTCGAGGGCGGGGGTTGGGACGGGGGCGGGGGCGGGGGCGGGATAGAGGAGGAGGAGGAGGAGGAGGAGGAGGAGGAGGAGGAGGAGGAGGAGGAAGAGCAGTGTAAAACCCAAGACCCAGCAACGATATAGGATTTAACCCTCCTTCCAAGTTCCGTCTTACTAGGCCCCTAGACGGATTCATTTTCACCAACGGAAGTGCCCCGTTGGAAGACAAGCGCTTGAAAGTCCAGAATTGTGCCAGACAGCCATTCCTGGGACATCAACGCCGCGAATTACCCTTTCTGTTGCGTCTTGACGACCCTGACTTGTACCAGAATGCCACTCCTGGGACTTCATGAAGCGCTGATCAACGTGACCGGTGCGCCCTGACATTCCGACATGGTGCCAATTCACAATTTCTGGGACGGTCGACGTGAGAGTAGTGTTGGAAGTTACTGTAAACTTTGAGCACGAATGTGCGCGGCGCTTAGGCGAGAGCCACATTTTGAAACGGAACCCCCATTTCACCCGTGAAACTCATGCACACCTTTGAGGCGAATGTGCGCAGTGCTAAGGCGAGAGGCACATTTTGAAGATGGACCGCCCTCCACCCTTGAAACTTCTGCAAACTATGAAGACGAATGTGCGCGGCGTTAAGGCGGGAACCACATTCTGGAAACGGGCCACCCTCCATCCGAAAAGTTGCTGCAAACTTGTAATGCGTCGATCCGCGAATCTCTTGCACATTGAAACTTCAGGATCAGAACTTGTGAAGAAGTCGCAGGCGAAACGCCTGGCCCGCCCTTTCGACCAGCCTCGGGGTGCGACAGGGAGGAGTTATCTATGACGAGAAGGAGTTGAGAATGAGGACGTTGAGGAGGAGGACGACAACCAGGAGGCGGATCAAGAGGAGGAGGACGACGAGGAGGACGAGTAGGACGAGGCGGAGGATGAGGATCTTGAGTATCAGGGAGCAGGGAGGAAGGGTGGATTTCAATTTTGATCTCACGGGTACCGGGCCCACCCCATGGCAGCGAGGGTTGATAAGTTGCGGAATCATAAAGGGATAGGGCGATGGAGGAGTAGGCGGCGGAGGAGTTGGAGAAGGATGCGGCAGGAAGCGGAGGCGGAGGCGAAGGAATAAGGATAAGCAGTACCGAGGAGAAGGTGAGCGGGAGAGAGAGAGAGAGAGACAGACAGATACTATGTATCTGCACATCAGAGTCGCACGCATGACCACACTTATGCCAGTATGTGATACATCTGATATATACATATGTATATGTATCTATTTATACAGATATGTATCAGAGTGTGGGGGCCGACCCGTCATTCACTGTCCCTGGGCACGTGGGTGAAGTGAGGTTCTCCGTTGCGGATTATTGTTGTTGTTGTTGGTGGTGTAATTGTTGGTGTTGGTGTCATTGTTAGTCTTGTTGTCGCTGCAGTTTGTGTTGTTGCTGTTGACTAGGTTGTTGTTGTTTAAGTTGCTTTTGGTATTGTTGTTGTTACCGTTGCTGTTGTCGTCGTTGTTGGTATTGTTGTTGTTGACTTGTTGTTGCTGTTGTTGGTGTTGTTGTTATTGCGAGTGCTGTTGTTGTGTATGATGTGTTGCTGTTGCTGTCTTTGTTGTTTATGCTGCTGCTGTTGTTGTCGTTGTTGTTAGTGTCGTTGACGTTGTTATTGTTGTCGTTGTTGATGATGTCGTTGCTGTTGTTGTTGTCGTCGTTATTTGTGTTGTGGTTTTTCGCACTGCTGAATAATATGTTTTAATGATCCCCTCCCTCCCTCCGGTGACCATTGTACTTTTTCAATTGAAGTGTTTCCCCCGGGGCTCGCACTCTGTTTTTTTTATCAGGGGAAGTCGCCAGGCTAAAATTGTGTTGTTGGCCCCCAGTTTACAACAACAGCGGCTCCCGCCCGCTATTTTCCAAACAGTTGATTCCCAAGTCGCGCTCTCGCCCGAGACTCCCTAACAATTTGCTTACGAATCGCGCCCTCGCGTGGGAATTCCTCGCAGTTCATTCTGGCGATGCGCCTTCGGCGCTCAGATATCACGCTCTCGCTTTGGCGTTTCTCGCGATTTGCTTAGGAATCGCGCTATCGCTCGAGACTCCCTCGCGATTCATTCAGGACCCACGCTTCAGCAACCCGCCTGCTTGACCTGGTTGCCTGGGCCCGCCGTCCCGATCTGCCCGCTATGGGACTCCCCACCCAGTCTGCCCGTCTGGTTCTACCACTTGTTTTCTGTTCCTGGCCCCCTCCTGCTAATTTCTCTCGTGCTCCATTCTTCTCCCTCCCCCTTCCACCCGTCTTCTCTTCCCTTGGAAGATATGCCCCCAAGGGGGTACGATCGGAGACGACGAGGGCGGGTACCAAAGGATTTGGGATATACGTACTGATTGGCACGTGCGCAGATAGGAGCGTACAGCCTTAGACTGATCATTGTTGTGTTGTTGTTGTTGTTGTTGTTGGTTTTATTGTTGATGTTGTTGTTGTTGTTGTGGTTGGTGCTGTTCGTGTTGTTGTTGATGCTGTTGCTGTTGCGGTTGCTGTTGGTGTTGGTGTCGTTGTTGCTGTTGTTGTTGTTGTGGATGAATTCTCATTTTTGATGAATAATGTTTGTTGACCCCTCACCGTTACATAGTGTTTTTTCTCAATCAAAGTGTGCCCCTCGACGCTCGCACCCTGGTTTTTGACAGGGAAAGTCTTCAATCTCAAACTGTGCCCCTGGCCCCCGGGTTACAACAACAACGGCTCCCGCTTGAGACGTCCTTACGATTTAGCCAGGACCCCCGTTCCCGCCTGAGATTTCCTCGCATTTTATTCAGGACTCGCGCGTTCGCTTAGGACTTCCTGATCATTTATTTAGGCATCGTCCTCTCGGCGCTCTAGAGTCGCGCTTTCGCTGGAGACTTGCTTGCAATTTAGTGAAGGAGACTGCCCTTGCATTGGCATTTTTGGCAATTTATTCAAGCGCCGCGCCCTTTCGTGGCCCCCTCGCTGCCCTTCGTGGCTCCCTTGCACCCGTTCGTGGCCCCCTCGCTGCCCTTCGTGGCCCCCTTGCTGCCCTTCGTCGTGGCCCCCTCGCTGCCCTTCGTGGCCCCCTTGCAGCCTTTCGTGGCCCCCTCGCTGCCCTTCGTGGCCCCATTGCAGCCCTTCGTGGCCCCCTCGCTGCCCTTCATGGCCCCCTTGCAGCCTTCCAGTTTCGTGCCCCCCTCGCTGCCCTTCGTGGTCCCGTTGCACCCTTTCGTTGCCCCCTCGCTGCCCTTTGTGGCCCCATATATGTATGCCCTTCGTGGCCCCCGCTCGTTCGCGCCCGTCGTGGCCCCATAGACATGCCCTTCGTGGCCCCGCTGTCGCCCTTGGTGGCCCCCTCGCTGCCCTTCGTGGCCCCGTTGCTGCCCTCAGTGGCCCCGTCTTTGCCCTCCGCGGCCCATTATATGTATGCCCTTCGTGGCCCCCGCTCGTTCGCGCCCGTCGTGGCCCCATGTGCATACCCTTCGTGGCCCCGCTGTCGCCTTTCGTGCCCCCCTCGCTGTCCTACGTGGCCCAGTTGCTACCCTCAGTGGCCCCGTCGTTGCCCTCGGTGGCCCCGCATGATCTGCGCTTCGTGGCCCCGTTCGTTCGCGCTCTTCGTGGCCCCATACGCATTCCTTTCGTGTCCCCGCTGTCGCCCTTCGTGGCCTACTTCGTGACCTTGGTGGCCCCGCTGCCGTTTTCTCTCTCTCTCTCTCTCGCTCGTCCTTTGTTCCTCCTCTCCCTTCCTGTCTCCCTCGTTCTCCCCCACCTCTTCTTGCAGGGCCCACAACAATTCCAATGGCGGGCACGTGTACGCCCACGGAGGTTTGTCCGCCCGTTCAGGTTTGCCCGCCTGTCTAAGCCCGCCGCCCTCCGCAAAGATAAAACAATTCACTCCAAAGGGGGCGTGGTCGAAAACAGTACTGGCGGGTATCGAGGGTGTGGGGAACTCGTTTTGAATGACACACGGGCAAGTAAAAACGAACAGTCTTACACTGAGTTTTGTTGTTGTTGGTGGTGTTGCTGCTGCTGTTGTTGTTGTTGTTGTTGTTGTTGTTGTTGTTGTTGTTGTTGTTGTGTACTGTTGTGTGTTGTTGTGTGTTGTTTTGTTGGTGTTGCTGCTGCTGCTGTTGTTGATGTTGTTGGTGTTGGTGTTGTTGTTGTTGATGGTGCTGCTCTTGTTGTTGATGTTGTTTTGTGTTGTTGTTGTTCCTGCTGAGCGCTGGTGTCTAAGCAGTTGTTATCATTATTGGACCCCCCAAGCGCGTTGGCGCTCTCGCCTCGGCGCTGGGTACAGTTTAATTCATCATGGGGCTCACGTTCGAGCGGTTCGGGGGGGCGCCACACACGTCCCCCCAACAACAACAACGCTCCCGCTCGAGGTTTCCTCCTGTTTTACTCACGGCCAGTGCTCTTGCTCGCCGCCGAAAGCCGCCGCCCCGACAAAGCCAGCGCTACCGCTCGAGGTTTCCTCCCATTTTACAACGGACTGGCACGCTACTGTTTCTTTCGTCGGCGCCGACTTCCCCCCGTTCTACGCTGGAGTGGCGCCTACTCTCTTTTGCTTTGGCGCCGCCCCCAGCAAGAACAACGCTCCCGCTCGAGGCTTCCTCCTTTTTTCCTCACGACGGTGCTGTGCCTCGTTGCCGACAACCCCCGTCCCGACAAAACCACGGTTTCCGTTCGAAAGTTCCTCTTTTCTTACTCAAGGCGGTGTTCCTCCTCGCCGCCGACAACCGCCGTCCCAACCAAACCAGCGCTCCCGCTCGAGACCTCGTTTTGTTTTACGCTGGACTAGCGCCTTACTCTCTTCAGCATTGGCGCCGCTCCCAGCAACAACAGCGGCCTTGCTCGAGACTTCTGCCCTTTCTATTCAGGACCAGGTCTTGCATCGCCGCCGGCAGTCCCCCTCCCCACCAAGGCAATCCTGTCTTTCGATACTTCCTTGTGATTTGCCCTTGGCTGGGGCTCCATTGGCGATCTCGCACCGGCGTTTTCGAGGCGGGAAATGTTGACATGTTTCGGAGGAGGTGTTTGCAAGACGTTATTTGGCGGGAGAGCGGGAGAGAATGGGAATAATGGACCCCGCTGTAGAACAATCGTCCCCCATGATGGAGATAGTTATCACGATGGTCGCATGCTTCGTGTGGAATTACCGCGCCTGAGGGTAAAATGATTGCTGTTGTTGTTGATGTTGTTGTTGTTGTCGTCGTTGTTGTTGTGTGTTGTCGTCGTCACCCCCGCGCCCTGGCCCGCCACCCGCCGGAGACCCGGCCCGCGACCCAAACTCGACCCGCGCGCGACCCACCTGCGACCCACCCCGCGACCCACCCGCTACCCACCTTCGACCCACCCCGCGAACCTTCCGCGACCCACCCGCGACCCTTCCGCGACCCACCCCGCGACTTGGCCCGCGAGCCACCCGCAACCCACCCGCGACCCACCTGCGACCCAGCCCGCGACACCCGCAACCCACCAGCGGACCCACCCGCGACCCATCCCGCGACCCACCCACATTGCCTTAACGAGGAAATCGGCACCTGCGGCGTTTTTTTTTTCAGAGCTCGCAGACTGTCGACATTTTTATCCGCAACTGCGGGGTGCCACGTAATATATAAAGGTGCATGTGTATAATATTAAGGTATCATGCGATAACTGAGAAGGGAGGGGCGGAGCAGGTGGGGAAGGAACATCAGCACGGGTAGGGGTCAGTGTCAATCGAATTTTCGAGGCCGTCCGAGTTTCTCCAAGGATGTCCCGTCGGGTGTCCAGTGGCCTCGCAGGATTTGCCATGGAACCTCAGGGAGACACCGGGGAGCTTGCCTTGCCTTCAGTTTCTCCCGACGGGGTCTCCACCGGGGGGCAAAGGGCTTCCTGGAGCGCCAAGAGAGCAACCAATATTTCGCTGACGTCCAACGGCCTCACGGAGCCGCGGGAGGATGATCTATCTGTGAGGAGAGAGAGAGAGAGAGGGAGAGAGAGATATAGAGAGAGAGAGATAGAGTCCCAACCTGCGACCTTTCCCAAAGCAAAATCGAATATCGCGAAAGAAGGAGGAGGAGGACGAGAAGGAGGAAGAGGACGGCGGTGACGTCGACGACAAGGTCGGAGGAGGAACAGCACCACGCGGAGGGCGGCCGGACTGCGGTGGCGGGGCGCCGACCAGATCATTATGGCCACCAACCGCCCCGACACGCTGGACCCCGCGCTCCTGAGGCTGGCCTTGGGAGGGCCGCGCTTGCACAGGGAGGGAAATGGGAGGAGGAGGAGGAGGAGGAGGAGGAGGAGGAGGAGGAGGAGGAGGAGGAGGGAGGGGGGCAGGAGAAGGAAGAATACGAAGGAGGAGAAGAAGGAAGCGGGCTAGCAGCAAAAGGAGCGGAACGGGGTGGAGTGGCAGGGTTGGCAGGGCCGCGAGTCAGAAAAAGAGGTGGGCGAGGAGGAGAATGAGGTTGCGAACGCCAACGGCAAGGAGCACGAATGGGCGGTTGAGGAGGGAGGAGGGTACAGAGGCAACGGAGGAGCCGTGGAGGAGCCGTGGCGGAATCCTGGCGTAGCATCCCGCAGTTGCGGCTAAGGGTGAGGGGGCGGCGGGGACGCCGACAGTCTGCGAGACTCTGAGAAAGCCCGCCGCAGGCCTTTAGTTCTTACAGATAATGAACCCGCCGCAGGTGCCGATTTTTTCATCGGGGTGGGTCGCGGGTGGATCGCTCGCGGGTGGGTCGCGGAAGGGTCGCGGGTCGGTCGCGGGTGCCCGAGAAGCTTCAGAAACCCGGAGGGAACCATACGGGTCCTTAGGAGACGCTCTTAAAATTTGAGCTGAATAACTTCGGGTCATCTAGAAGGAGGCCTCGAAGCCTTTTTGGAAAAACGGCTTGGATCGGAGGAGTTTATGAGCCTCGGGGAAGGAACAAAGAAATGGATCAGGAGTAGGAGGGGGAGGAGTGAGGAGGGAAAACGTGGGGGAGGGCCTCTTGGACCATCTTGGGGGCCTTTTTGTCGTTTATGGTGGGCCCCGAGGGCGGCGCCCAGGAGCAAAACCGCCTCTGATCGGACCTTGCTGGGGTACTTTCCGGCCTAGGACCCCCCCGGGCGGCCCCGCGCGGGCGAACTAGAGAACTCTGAACCAGTCACTGGAGATCTTAGCATGCCTCTGGCCCGTTGGGCAGGTGACTTGTTGGACCCCCTGGAGGCGAGGAATAGGAAGGAGGAGGGCGAGGAGGAGAAGGAGAGGGAGCAAGGAAGGGACAGTGGGGGGGGAGGGGGAGGAGGTGGTGGTGGAGGAGGAGGAGGAGGAGGAGGAGGAGGAGGAGGAGGATATCGTGTGGCAAATCAGAAAGAGACGGATCCGCAGATGGATCGGCACAGAGACGGGAAGCGGCAGCGGCGGCAGCGGCAGCGGCGGCAGTCGAAGAGCTGTCCCCAGCGATGGTGCGCACCACGTGGACGGCGCGCGCACTGCGGGCTGCCGCAGTTGGCGGGGTCCCTCCCTCGGTCCCTTGCCCTCCAATGTCCGTCTTCCGCGTCGTCATCGTCGTCCGCCTCCCAGGAGTGGAGGAGAAGGGGGAGGAGGAGGAGGACGGGGAAGCGGCGGAGGAGGAAGACCTTTTCCTCCTCCCCCAAATGTGCTACCCCTTGTCCCTGTCTTGTCCTTCCTTTTGCCGTCTCGCTCCTAGGTTTCCAGCTCCCTCCCTTTTTCTCCAGTGCTCCTCCTTTGTTTCCTCCTTCCCTCTGCTCGTTCTGCACCCCCCATGGCTTCACCCCCTTCGCTTTGCTGCCGCCGCTCATCATCTTTATCATGACTCCCTCCCTTCCTCCTCTCGTTCCCTCCCTCTTTCCCTCCATCTCGCCCCCCTTCCTCGTTACTAATCACTTCTTCTTCCCCCTTCCCATCGCTCCCCTTTCTCCACGTGCCCCTCCTCTTCACATTGCATTCCTTCGTTGTCCCTTACCCTCCTACTTGTTACTCTCTCCTTTTTCTCCTCCCTTCCCTTTCCCCCTCGTCCTCCCCGTGCGTCCCTCCCGAGTCCAGGCCTGGCCGCCTGGACCGCAAGGTCGAGATCAGCCTTCCGAACGAGCAGGCCCGCCCCCCTGCACTTCAGTTGCGGGCATCCTCGGCCGACAGGGGCCACGTCCGTAGCCATTTTGGCTCATGCCTTTCCGTTGGCCCCCTGCTCCTGGACCTTGTCCCCCGGCGTACCCCGAGACCCCAGTTTCACGGGGCAACTTGGCGGGCGTGAGGGACTTGGGGGAGTGGGGCTTTTGGCTCTCGGGGATGGCGGCGGCGGGCGGCCCGACAGCGTGGCGGCCTTCATCGCAACGGCAGGCTGACATCGACTCCCTGGGCCCGACGGCGGCTCGCCGTGCCGCTCGAAAGCGGCGGCAGGCTGCTGTTGAGGCGGCCATCGGCCGCCGCGCTGGCGCAGGTGGCGAGCCTGGCTCATGGCGCGACCGCGAGCTCGCGTCTAGGCCCGCCCTCCAGTGCGCGGCCAGCGGGCGCCGCGTCCCTGGAAGCTCCAGGCGGCGCCGCAACGCCGCTCTGCACGCCGCGCGGGTGCCGCCTGGAGGCTTCGCTTCGGCGTCCGCCAGCGGCATCGCCTGGGCGGCCGCCGGCCCGCGGCTGGGCTGGGAGGCGGGGCTGCCCTTCGGCCCTGTCCCGGCACGGCGGCACGGGCTTCGGTGCTCGTGCGGGGCAGTCGTCTTCAGCTCGGCGTTCGGCTTCGAGGGCGAGGACGGCTTCATGGAGTCGGGCCACCCTGGCAGTGAAGGGTTTCGTGGCGGTATGTTTGGAGATCTTCCTGCTGGGGATCTGTGTGTCCGCATTGCTGCTGGAGTGCCTGCTGTTGTACTCCCTGTTCCGCTGGTGCATCCTCCTGCAGAGGACCCTGGTTTTCTGGCTCAGGCGTTCGGGGCTCACGGTGTGTCGGACGATCGGCTGGTACTGGAGTCTTCGACGGAGGTCCGCCCCAGTGCGCATGGGACGGAGGTGGCGGGCATTCGCGGCAAGGACGTCTACGACGGGGACGATGCTGGAGCCCACGGCGCAGGTGGTGCATCTGCGGATGTGCGCCCTGGTCGTCTGGTCGAGCGGTTCTCTGGCGAGCATGCTGGCCTTGTGGTGGGTGTCGGGGTCCATGAGGCGTCGACGGTGCTGCTGGCGGCAGGAGTTCTTCGGGGGGGCAGCTCCCAGTGATCGGGGGGCACGTTTTTGCGGGCACGAGCGCACGGGCTTCGATGGCGTGACCGACGTCTTCGCCTGTTCGTCGTTCGAGGTGGCTCTCATCACGGTGGCCTTCCTCAGCCTGTTCTCGGTCCTTTCGGTCCACTACTGAGGACGGCGCAATTGCGCGTTTTTTTTTTTTTTTTTTTTTTTTTTTTTTTTTTTTTTTTTTTTTTTTTTTTTTTTTTTTTTTTTTTTTTTTTTTTTTTTTTTTTTTTTTTTCAAACCTCTGGCCAGTACGCGTGCGGCTGGTCTTTGTCGGGGCAAAACGACAGGGGCCACGTCTACTCGATTTTTGATGCGAGTGGATTCGATTTCGAGGGTTCCGACTTCGGTTCGAGTCGGCTCCGGATGCCGCTTCGGGTCTCTGTGCTGCTCTGCGCAAGCCTTGGTTCGGGCCGCCGGGCGTCGATGTCGATGCCTTCCACTTGTCCTGGCGAGTGCTGCCGATTCCATGCATTTCGATTACCGATCCGGTTTTTCGATTCGGTCTTGGGCCACCCTGCAGATAATTGTACGGCAGGTTCGCGTCGTCTTGCAGGTGTTCGAGGTTGACCGCCGCCAGCGGCCCAGAATTGGCTCATGTGGAACGATCAGGCGATCGGAAATCCGCCGATCATTGAAGGAGTGGCGATTCATCTTGGTTTCAGGAACTACCGCCCGGGTCGTCACGGCACGAATTTTTGTAGGCGTTTTTGGTGTCTTTCGGAGCGGGGAAGCAGTAGTGGGGACATGACGAGGGGGACCCAGATCAGATGCGTGGGCAGGAGGATCTCTGCTGAAAGTCTAGGCCTCCGAGGTGGGGTCCGAGCAGATGGAGTCAGAAGATATCGCGCCGCATCGCCGATGCATCGGCCATGCGGCTCGACTTGGGAGCCTGATTTTCTTCACGCCGTCGGCGCAGATGCACCGCTTTCCTCACCGATGCATCGGCAATACATCATCGACGAGGCGCGATCCTCCTACTCCATATCCTCGAACCCCATGTGTGAGGCCTCTAGATAGATTGAGCTGCGTGCCCTCCTTGCGCTTTCTCCTGACGCGGTGCTCTCCCTCGGACGTCTTCGGGCGTCTCCGGACGTCCTGGGGGTGCCTCCGCAAGAGGAGGCCGAATGAGAGGTGAAGGCGGGCGAGGAGGCGGAGCAGCAGGACGGAGAGCGGGAGGACAGGAAATAGAGGGTGAGAGGGGGTTGCGGGGTGAGGGAGGGGGTTGGAGGGGGGGGGGGAGATGGGGAATCAGGAGGAGGAGGAGGCGGAGGAGGAGGAGGAGGAGGAGGAGGAGGAGGAGGAGGAGGAGGAGGAGGAGGTGAGGAGGAGGAGGAGGAGGAGGAGGAGGAGGAGGAGGAGTGGAGAGTGGGGAGGTGGGAGTGAGGGGTGCGGAGTGGGGACTGATGGCGAGTGCGGATTGCGGGCTGGGGAGTGCGGCGCAGGAAAGCCAGCAGGAGGAGCCAGGCCGCTTGGACCTCGGAGGGCCGCCTCGGGGCGGGGTCCGAGAGCTGACCCCTCCCCCCCCCCCGAGGGCCTCGCGGCGGGGCAGGGGAGGCCCCTTGAGGGCCCTGCCGGGCCTGGCCCCTCCCTCTCGGGAGCGACGTTGGGGAGGGATGCGTAAGGCCCCGGCGGAGACAGGCGATGGGCGAGGATGCCGGCAGACGGGAGCCCTGAAGGTGTCCGACTGATTGGGCGCCCGCGCAAGCGCTGCCAAGATTCGCTTGTGCCAAGAGTTGAGCGAGCCCGGCGCCTTGCTAGGCACGGGCGCGCGGACCCTCCGCAGCGCTTCCCGCTGCTCTTGCTACGCAAGGCTCAGGGAGTAGCACATCGCCGCCCAAACGCCCATTGATCGCCGATGGGGGCCTGACAGCCCACTATCGGGGATGTATCGCCGATCCGTCGGCGAGGTGTCGCCGAAGCCAGTCCCCTACAGTTGCCCATCACCCCATCCAAGGGATTCCGATGCCACCACACGGTCTGCCACTGCATCTTTTGAGGGCCCCAGATCTTTCCACAGTGCAGCCGTGTTGTGCTATGCCTTTTTTTCCCCGTTCCTCTAGCTATTCCCTCCTCGCCCATCCTTCGGGGGGGCTGCACCCCAAATCCTATCCTTTGTAGGCTGAGTTTGCTGCAAACATGTATCGAGTTTCGCCTTTGCTTCCTTTCATCCACCATGCCCGCCCTCGAACGTCCATCCTTTACGCGCAGTTTCGGCGGCCTCTCTTCAAACGCGAGCTGTCGCGTCAGACACCGACAGGCCCAAAGGTAGCACAGTTCATATTTCTCACAGTCACACCGACTGGAATGTTTGTTGAAATTTCTGATCTTGATTTCTCATTGGCTCATGGCGTGAGTCGTTCTTAACATCTGCACTGATGGGCTGCGGGTTTCTGAACCGTCTAGCCCGCCCAATCTCCTATCCTTTGGTGGGGCAGTTGAAGCATCGCAAGCACATCAACCGCAGGACCTCACCATGCGGCAACCCCATGCGACCCTAACTTTCCCAGCGGTTTTTCGCCGTAGGGAGAGGGAATGCTTGTGCAGGCTCGTGGGGAGGGCCGTGCCTCCTCAACCCGTTTCTCCTCCTCTTATTCTGCATCCTCTTCCCGTTTTTTTTGCCGTTGGGTTGAATTTCCGCGAGTAGGTGGGAGAGCCAAGCGTTCGAGAGCTGGAAGCTCGGGCGCAGGCTCAGTCGCGGAAGGCCCAAGCGGAGCCTGACCCAGATGTTACGGGATATCTATTTTGTGGGGGGCTGTCGGAGGGCCCCGCCTGTTGATTGGAACCCCAGGCGGGGGAACAACATGTTCTCCTCGGAACAGCATGTTCTCTCTCTCCCTTGACCTCTCCCTCTATGTTCAGTGAGCCTTCTTCTTTTCTCCTTGGTCTTCTACCCCGCCCCAGCTCTCCTCACTCATCTTCACCCCCCTCTGCGGATGAAGGCCCGAGTCGACATCCTCAAGATCCATGCGGGCCCCATCACCAAGCATGGCGACATCGACTGGGAGGTCGTTCCGCCATGGATCTCACATTAAACGTCCATTGTCCCTCTTCCTCCGGTGGCTGCTGCTTCTCCTGCCCCTCCCCTATCCTCCTCCTCCTCCTCACTTTCCTCCTCCCTCTCGTTCCTCTCTCGTTCCTTCCCCACAAGCGGAAGCGTTCTCGTTCCTTCCTCCCTTCTCCTTCTCCCTTTTTCCTCCCTTTTCACTTCCCTCCTCCCTCTCGTTCCTTCCCCACAAGCGGAAGCGTTCCGTGCGGCCACCTGCGCGCTTCCTGTGCCTCCTGCTCGTCTGTCCCTCGTCGCCACGGCCGGGTGCGGCTCGACCAGCCGATCAGGAGGTTTCGGGCCGATGTCAGGTTGGCTTTGGGCCAGGAGGACGAGGCCAGCCAGCTGAACTTCGTCTCCGTGGCCAGAGCTGCTCTCCTCTCGTTTCCGCACCCGTCCCTCTGCCTCCGGGCCTCACTGAGACCCGACGTTGCGAACAAGGCGACGTCGCGAAAAACCATGACCAGATGGCAGGACTCCATCTTTCGGGGTCATTGTTCGAGCCTGATCGATCTGAATGGTCTTGAGGCCTACTATTGGGCGACAACGCCCAGCGTGATCAAATCGCAACGCCCGAATCTCAGGGTCGCCTCGTTGGGGGCGGTTTGGGGGCCCTCGGGAGTTCGTGGGCGCTCTTTGGGCCGTATCACAGGTCGCTCTTCAGCAGTCTGTTGTCTTCGCAATTCGTCTTGGGGGCCTCGCTTGGCCGTCTTGGGCACCTCTTGCGGCATTTCGGAGGGCCGATGGCAAGTCTGGCTCCAAGAGGCCTACTGGGGCTCCTTGGGGATCTCTTAGATGCATCTTGGGGCCTCTTCTGCGCCTTCGAAGGACTCTTAGCGGTCTCGAAGGCTTACGCCTGTGAAGGGCCCCTTGGCGGTCTCGAAGGCGATCTTGACACAAAGGACTCGTGAGGCCAGTTCGGGACTAAAATACATAAGAAACACATTAGGTGTCAATGTTCAAGACTTTCGGAAAATCACGCGGAGCGCCCCGAGTTCTTTAGTCCTTATTGAGGGTTCTCTTGAAGCTCTCGTGCGCCTTCAGCGGGGACCTCCCAAACTAAATTGTCTTCGGGCCGCATTGGGCCGCCTTGTTGCCGTAGTGGGCCGTCTTGGATGCAATGTGGGACACCTTGACGGCCTCGGTGGCCTGCTCTGCAGACCTAGAACAGGGCTGGACCTAAACGCTGTTTTGCTGAACTTCGGCTGTGTTTTGCTGGTGCAGGAAAACAGGTAGACCAACACGAAACACAAAACGAAAACAAAACAAACAACAACGTTTGTGTCCAGCCCAGTCCTGGAAGCCATCGTGGGCATCTTGAATGCGCTGGAGACTGCCAGGGAGGCGTCGGGGCGCCGAGGAGCCCTCGGGGAGGGACGGGGGCGCGGGGAGAGATGCACGCATGACTTTGCTAGGACAAGGGGGGGGGGGTCCCCGAGGAGATGCCGGACACCGTGCCACGCACCGTTCGAGTGACAGACGGGTCCGTCTTCGCCGACATTCTCGCGCAAGTTGCCCGCGTAAGCTCGCGCCCGCACCTGCTGCACCCCGCGGCCACACAGCGTGCATCATACAGCTTGCACCACGCAGGTTAACACCACCGGTATGGCGCAACTTGGGCAAGATCTCATCGATTGCGCCACACAGAGTGCACATTGAGAGGGACGTCGCCCATCACGTGCAGATCACGCTGGCAGGCATGATTGGTTAGCAATCAGAACGTGTTTGGGCCTCCACCATGGTGTTCTCGCCGCTGCAGTTTTGGTCACATTGAAGGATCCGCGCTTCGTTCCTGTCGTTCAGCACGGCGCTGTCGCACCAGCGCGTGCGAATGTGGTATACACGATTATGGAGTCGTCTTTGCTGCCCCCCCTCCTTTCCCCTCCTCCATTTTTACCTTGCTCGCCAGCTCGTCAAGTTCCTCCTCCAGATCCAGCAGCCCCCCCCCTACCCCCTATACATTCGACTCCTCCAGCGTACAGCCCCCTGCCCCCCAGTCCGGTTGCGCAGCAAGCGAGGGGTCAGATCTTGCAAATGCCATTCGGCGTAAAGGCCCCCCCCAGGAGAGACGCCAGTCGGCGGATGAAAAAGGGTTCAACGCAATGGAGAGGGATGGAAAGGGAGGGGTCGGACGTCACACGTGCCGCGGGCGCGCCTTGCTGGTTGCGGGATGTCACGTGCTGCCGTTTGCGCCCCCCCTTTCGCCGAGGCAATCGTCAAGCTTACGGACAGCTTCAACGGCGCAGATATGCGGAACATTTGTACCGAGGCCGCGCATGGAAAAGAGACGCAGGGTGGCGGTAAGGATCAGGATGAGGATGAGGATGAGGATGTCGATGATGGTGGTGAGGGTGATGGTGATGATCATGCTGATGTTGGTGGTGATGATGATGATATTGGGGATGAGGTGGTGCGGGAGTGGTAGTTGTCGTGGGAAGTTGACGAGGAGGATAGGGTGAGGGAGGACGGGCAGAATGGCGGGTAATAGAGGGTGACGGATGATACCGGTTCTGATGGTGTTGATGGTGATGATGATTATGTTGATGATTACGGTGTTGATGATGATGATGATGATGATGATAACGATGATGTTGTTGATGGTGATTATGTTGATCGTGCTGCATCCGACCCTGGCACGTATGCCCCCCCCTCGTGGGGAGGCAGTTGGCACTCGAGCGGGGCGGGAGGACACAGCGGCTGGCCTGGCCTTCCGCTACGCACTGGACCTCAGTTCGAATCGAATGCAGGTCGTGTCGGAGGCGGAGGCGGTGCTGGCCACGGCTGGGGTGCGCCTCAGCCCGTGGATCACGGCAACACCTCCATTCCCGAGTTGGAGAATTTGGTGGATATGCTCACGAAGTGCGGTGACACGATGGGGGCGAGGAAGCATCAGTCCATCCTGGACCAGAAGCGCCGTGCTGCCGCAGCCCCAGCTGTTCCGCTGCAGGCCAAGGTCAACAAGGCGTTCCATGATCTTCGCCAGCTTCGTGAGCGTACCGACGAGGCCTGCAATGTCTATGAGAAGATGGAGGCTGAGTTGGCTGTGCAGCGGAGCCGAATTCAGACCCTCACGAATGAGCTCAAGCAGGCGGAAGAGGCGCACACGGCCCTGGTGGAGCAGCTTCACAAAGAAGTCGCACCTCCTTCGGCCCCAGGCCCGCCTCCTGCCGCTTGTTTGGACATTGCGGCCATCATCCAGGGCAAGGCTGAGGAGATCCCGATTTCGATCGATTCACTGCTGGCACCTCAGCATGACTACGAGATTGCGGGTGACGACCTCGAGGAGGCAAATCGCAGGGCGCAGGAGCTCAAGCAGTCTCTTCAGGATGCAGTTCGCAAGTTGTTTGGAGATGCGCTGGTCAGGGCCAAAGCCTTCCAGGCAGACCAGAAGAAGATGCTCGAGAGGCTCGCCGCCAAGAGGAGGCGCCAAGACGGAGACGAAGCAGCAGAGCCAGCCGCGGGAGACGGGGATCCCGTTCCTCCTGCCGCCGCCGCCGCCGCGGGGGGCGACAGCGGGGCTGCTGCTGGGGCTGCCTCCTCAGCCCCCCAGGCCGAGGCGCCAGGGGACAGCGCTGCGGCAGATCCTGATCGTGCAGATGCTCGAGCTCGTGCTGAACGCCTGCTGTCACAGGCTTCCCCCCCCGCAGCCGAGGGGCAGCGGGGGGGCACTGCGACAGCCTGAGCATTTCCGCCCGAGCCACCCCGACTGTCTTGGGCCTGTTTTTGCGGGCCAGCCGTCTTACTTGTCTAACTTTAGTCTCTCGGCCTCTCGGCCTCACCTCCGTCGTTTCCTCCGCTCCCGTGGTGCGTGTCCCTCAGGCTGTGGCCTGAAGGCTGCTGTCCGTCACACTCGCTGGAGGGCCAAACGAATTTTGTCTGGTGATGGTCAGAGGTTCGGCTCCCTGCAGGTTACCCTTTCCAAGCCTGCCGATTTTGCTCGGCCTAGCCCAGCCTACCCAGTGTTGGCTGCGCCTGGCTCTCAGTACCCGATTGAGGTGGTGCCTGGCCCCAGGATCTCCCAGGCTCCCCTCCCGTGCTCTTACCCTGCCCCTCCTGGCTTCCTGGAGCCTGAAGGGATGAGCTCGTTCGCTTTGTCTGTCCGAACTCTCAGCTGCAACAGTTGGGGTACCCTTAAGAAGATGTTACCTCACACGCCTTCAGCGGTCCTGATGGTGCAGGAACACAGATTGGCGGGTAGTGAAGAAGTTGCCCAGGCCTCCTCCTGGTGTGCCCGTAATGGCTGGAAATCGTTGTGGACCCCAGCTACTCTCACGGATAAAGGCACGTCAGGGGGCACTGCTTTGCTTGTGAAAAGCTGGCTTGGTCTGTTTCCCCCTCCTTCTGGACACGCTATCGTTCCTGGTCGGGCCACTCACGGGATCATTCAGGTTCCTGGTGGTCTCAGCTACCACATGTTTTCGGTTTACCTGCATGATGGGGAAGGTTTGACTGAGCGTAATCTCGAGCTCTTGAGTTGTGTTGGCACCTGTGCTTCTACGTGCTGCTCCAGTTTTGTCGTGGGAGGAGACTTCAACGTCCCTCCTTGCGAGCTGGAGAGCAGCAAGTTTGTCTCTCAGCTTCAGGGCCAGATCATCATTCCTGGAGGTCACACTCATTTTGGTCAGGGGGCCCCCTCCACCCTTGACTACTTCGTTTGCAGTGGGGGGCTGGGAAAAGCCGTGGACTCCTGCTGGATCGATCTGACGACGGAGCTTAGTCCCCATCGTCCCGTGGAGCTTCAGTTCCACCGATCCCCTGCCACCCTCAAGGCCCTCAGTTTTAGGAAGCCACCGCCGCTGCCGAGAGACCGAGTCATTGGTCCGATGCTTCCCCCTCCGTGCTGGGATCATGTGATCTCGCGAGCTCAGGCTGGTCTTGATGCTGTCGCCGCAGGCGACGCCGAGGCTGCCCTCAGCCACTTGTCGCCGGCCTATGGAGCGTGGGCCGATAAGGCGGAGGAGGAGCTGGTCCACTTGTTGGGGGCGGATCTGGTGAAGGCAGGATGCAGGAGCAAGGGGCCTCAGCTCGTGTGGCGCAGCTTAGTGGGCCGAGATTCTCAGCCAAGGTATCCCGAGCACCGCGCCATCTGCTGGCTGGTGGCTCAGTTTCGCGCGTTTATGGGGCTGCTGCGGGCCGACCAAGGTAGTGGGAGCCAGGCCGCCAGCTTGCATGCTTTGCTTGCCAGCCCTCCTCCCGCGATTTCTCGGCACTCTAGCAAGTATGCCACTTCATTCAGCCGTGTTAAAGATTTTACTGCTGCTTTGCAGGGCGATCTCCGCCAGGCCCCTTCTGAGCAAATTGTGAAAGGTGATGAGCTCCTGTGCACCCTCATCACTGTCTTGGAAGGGGCCAACGGGGAGTATCGGTCCCAGGCGCAGTCTGACTGGAGAGCCTGGCTCACGGAGGGCCTCGATCAAGGGGCTCGTCGGGTGCACGCGATTGTCCGTGACCCCACCCCCTGGGTCCCTACCACGACCCTCGCCAGAGATGGGTCTGTTGTTGCCGACCCCCTCTCGCTGTTGTCCCACGAAGGCACCAAGTTTGCCAAGTTTTGGAATGTCGGAGCTGGCAATCCTGCGGGTTGCACTCTGGTGGAAGCTCTCCCCAGGGCCGATCCCGCTCAGTTGCGGGCTGTCAGCAAGAAATATAAGAGAACCTCGGCTGTCACTTATGACGGGTTTGATTGCCGTCACTATCACCTTCTGTGTGATGACGGACTGGTCGCGCTTGGCATGCTCTTTCAGCTGATGGAGTCGGTTGGCCAACTTCCGCGCCAGATTTCTGCGGTGTTGCTTGCCCTGCTCTCGAAACCCAGCGGTGGCTACAGACCGATAGGGGTGTTCTGCTCCTGGTATAGGGTCTGGGGACGCCTCAGGCGTCCCCTTGCCTTACACTGGGAGCAGCAACACCCCCGTCGGTACTGGGCTGCGGGGGCGTTTCGTGGAGCTGCGGATGTGGTCTGGCGTCAATCGTTTCGCTCTGAGACGGGGACCTCTAGAAAAGGAAGAGAGTGCCAGCGTCTTCTATGATATGCTCAAGTATTATGAAACGATTGACTTAGACGTCTTAGAGCAGCGTTGTCACCAACACAATTTCCCGACTGTGCTGACTAGGCTTACCCTTTATGCGTATAGGTGTGGCCGCTTTGTCTCCATCGCTGGCCTCCTGGATGGGCCGCACTTTGCGCGGAAAGGAGTCATCGCGGGCTGCAGCATGGCCACTACTCATATACGCATTTATGGTTTGTCTTCGTTCGATAAGCTCCCCTCTGTTCCCTCCGTTGATTTTGACATATATATTGATGATACTGGAGTGTCTTGCACGGGGTCCAGAGAACATGTTATCTCGTCCATTGTTACCGTCTCTCTCGCTCTCCATCATGCTATTACTGATGAGAATGAGATGAACTGTCAGCTTGCTCTTGACAAGATTTGTACCGTTGCGTCCTCCAAAGGCCTGGCCACCGCGCTGGCTGCGGCCCTGGGACAGTTTGGAGGCAAGTTCACTGCCTCGACTGTGAACCTCGGAGTCGACTACTGTGCTGGCACCTCGGTCAGGGCCTCAGGGCGGAGCTCGAAGCTCAAGAGCCGTGTGGCGCTGCTCTGCAGGAAAGCCCGTCGTCTCAAGCGTCAGGCAGGTTACCCTGGTCGCAAAGCCCTCAGAGTTTTCGCCGCGGGCCCCCTCCCTGGAGGGGCCTATGGGGCGGACATCCTGGGGGTGAGCGACCAGGTTCTCCTAACCATGAGGCGGCAAGCTTTCAAGACTGTGAGGCCTTTTGCTAAAAGTAGGTCTCTCACGGCGGTCAGCCTTCTGTCGGAGGACCCGTGCTGGCGAGCTGCTTCGGCCCCCATCCTGCGTTGGAGCAAAGAGGTCTGGCTGGCCCAAACTCGTGAGTTCCCCTGGTCCATTCCTCATAGGGAGCTCCGAGACGGCTTCAGGAGTGTGTTTGCGCTGCCTAGGGTTACTTGGCCTACTGTTAAGGGCCCCGTGTCTGCCCTTCGCCTTACCCTCCTTCGCCTCGGTTGGGCCATGGTTGACTATGCCACTATCTTGGACGACCGTGGTTATCGTTTGCAGCTCGGCCTGATTCCCCCCAAATTGTTGGAAACTATGTGCAAAGAGGCCTACCTGCGTGGGCTCGAGCGGGATCTTGGGGGTAAATGGGGGCTCGATTGCAGGGCGTGTCTGGACATTCCCAGAGCTGCTTGTGTCAGTAAGAAGTTCTCACCAGCGCAGAGGGGCTGGATTCGGGCTTGCTCTTGTGATGCC